TAAATATTGGTGGATTATTACCTTTTATGGATGATTATATGTATATTCTTTTTATTAAAGAATATTGGTGGATTTATATTTATTACAAAGGATATTTTTGAGAAAATGTGACAAGAATGATTTGGGGAAAACTTAAAGTTTTCATAATATATATTCTTACGTCTCGAGAGAAACACGAGGCGTGGGTGGTTAGGGCTACTACTACTTTTGGTGAAATTTATTTGGGTCGGTAACCAGTCCGGCAATGACATACTCCGGTAGACATCCCGGGCTTTTATTTGAGGATCAAAGATCCTTTGGTGGTCGTAGTAGTAGTTACCTAATTTACCCTTGGACAATGTCCCTTGTGAGTAGGTGGTAGAAAACATCCCGCCTACTTGGGTTTCTTACTACTCGGAGGGCTTGGAATCCCTTTTAGAGGGTGTGCACACTTAAGGTAGAAATTCAGCTTCCAATTGGTGGTCGGTGGGAGCCGGAATTCCGGGATGAGTCGTAGATAACAATGACTCATTGGGCTCGAGGAATCTTGAGTTTCGCCCACTCTTAAAAGAATCTAAAGTATTACTTTTGGAGGAATTGAAGGATGATCTTATCTATTGTGGAAATTATTTTATGACATTAAACCATTTTGAAAATATGAGAGACTACTTTTCAATATATATATACATATACAAAAACCTATTTTCCAAATTATATTATTTTACGGGTTCGGGTGGAATCTTACTTAGCTCTAAAGCTAATTTTTGTCTCTTTTCTCTTTTTCTCTTTGCTCTATTGTACAGATGATTATGATTATGAAGATTGATGTACTTGCTGCCCGAGTGTTCCGCTAGTTGCACACGTTTGATTAATTATTGTTGTTTAAATTTGTAATCCATAAACTTTGTTTAAGTTTTATCTGATGACTACTTGAATTAATGGTGGATAGCCTGTGCACTCAATCATGTATAGGTTGAGTGTGGCGGTGACACACCTGTTTTTCCATCAAAGACTTCCGCTGTACTCTAAATATGTTTTATAATAAAGATGTTTTCATTTCAAAATGTTATTTTATTTTGGTGGGAAAAATGGGGGTGTTACAGTGCCGAATCATGAATTGACATTAAAGGTAGGGACCCCTGTGATGCTTTTGCGAAATATAGATCATTCAATGGGATTGTGTAATGGGACGCGTCTTATTCTAACGAGGCTTGGTGATCATGTTTTGGAGGGGAAGATTTTAACTGGTGTGAGTGCCGGACAAAAAGTTTTAATTCCAAGATTGTCCTTGACACCATCAGATATACCAGCTTGCCTTTCAAATTTCACCGGCGCCAATATCCTGTTATGATTTCATATGTTATGACTATAAATAAGAGTCAAGGTCAGTCATTGTCGCGTGTTGGGTTGTTGTTGAAAAAACCTGTATTTACCCATGGACAGTTGTATGTTGCAATTTCGAGGGTGACCAACCGATGTGGTTTGAAAATTCTGATTGTTGATGAAGATGAGAGAACTACTGACAAGACTCAAAATGTAGTATTCAAAGAAGTTTTCAACAATGTTTGGATTTGCTTGAAACGGTTATTTACAACGTATATCTTTTAAGTCAACGTATTGGTGTGACGGTTTTGAACTTTTAAGTCATGTTTTGTAATCTCATTTTCGCCATAATATTTAAGTGTGTTTTGTGTGTTGCGTTGATGTATATCTTTATTGCATGGCATTACATAGTGTCGACAATGAATAAAGTATCTTGAATTGGTTAGCATAAATAAATTTAAAAAACAAAATCTCATGCCGTGCATCGCACGGGTGAGATTACTAGTAGAAGGATAAAGAAGCCAAATGACAAAATAGGGTTCCACTTTTAAAAAACAATGTACAACATCTTATGCATAAAGTGTATTGACATAAATCAAGGGTACCAACCTCTATTCATGATTATATTGTTGTTAGAAATAGAAATTGTTTTATGAGCCCCTTAGAATTACTAAACTTATCTCATGTAAGATTAATTTACCCTTTTTAATTTTCTTTTACTAAAAGAGCTACTTATACGGATGGAAAGTTGTATATATTTTTTAAATTCAAAATCTTCATTAAATTTTAGTCTTTTTAAGAGTTCTTTTTGTCGTATAATTTTAAATTTTAAAAAGACAACAATTTGAAAACATCAAAGGAGATTATATTAAGGATATTTTAAATTGGATTGAAATTTTTGGATTTGGTCTGATCTGGTAAATGTATATTATGGTCTTTATGTATTTTATAACTATCGAAGTGTGCCCTTGTTTGATCTGTCTAAGTCTGAGATCTCTAACACTTCTTATTTTTAAAACTCTAGGGTTTCATTTTTAAAATTGAATTGTATGGTAGATTAAAATATTTTTAATTGAGCTGAAATTTCTGATCTGATTTGATCTGACTTGTATAGTTGTATATAAATCAATCCCTTTTGTTAATATACTAAATTTCTTAATTATTTACAAAGCTGGTGCTCCATTTTGTTAATACGATTTTCCATAATATGAGGTTTTTTTAAGGTGACAACTCCGGTACCCATTTAAAAAATGGGGTACCATACCTATCATGCATTTGATTGGTCCAAATCATTAAATTCATTTTAATTTAGATTTAAATAATTCAACTGCATGATTTTGATTTTTTTTAATTACGTAGCTTTAGATTACAATATTGGCCGGAATTACGTACGTAGGTATTGCTAATGTATCATCAGTTCTAATCCTACTTAAATACTAAAGTAAGGAAGTATTATTAATTAATATACTAAATTAGATAGGAAATTTAGAATATTATAATGATGTTTGCTTAGAAGATGACACATGACAAAACTTTCCATAATTGTATCTTTGAAATATATTATCTATAGATAGATACTCATAAATAAACTGCATATATTTGCATCATCAAATTAATAAAAAGCAATTATATAGAGTACAAGATGGTAATTATGATACGGGTTGTTCGTATAAAATAGGAGTAAAAACCATGCATATAAAATTTGACAGCCGGCATGGGGCTTTCTGATATAGCTTATTCGTTGATAATTCGGATCCCTGATTTATTGTAGGTACGCAGTATTGTTAGAACTGGATAAGGGTGGGGAAAGTCTTTGTAGATGAAGCTTTCCAATTATCTGGGACGGCATTTGTGAACTCCAAATTCTCTCAGCGAAGAAACAGAGAAATCTTCCTAAAGCATATGAACTAATTAGGTTATACGTAGTTTTTTTAGGCATATAAAAACAAATCCAAACCATGTATCTTCGCTACTAATTCAGAATTTATATGTTTCAGTTCGTAAGTATACACTATACTTGGAATACATAAAATGGAAGGAAAGAGTTGTATCAACGAAACTTAATGGCAACAACCAAATGATACAAAAAGTATTTGATGGCAAACCATAGGACTTCAAAAGTTCATATGGACATTTTGCAAACACGTAGCAATCAATCCAAGAGTACAAGAGAATATTAAGACTTACGAGACCAAGCAAATGACAAGCTAAGGTGGAATTGTGAATATGTGACATTTAGATGGAGGTCTAATTAGCAAACTCCATTTACTCCTATTTAAGGAGATCTCCCATCAGTTTATGCTTTTTTCAAGATCAAATAGGATTCCTATGAAAACAAAAATCGTATTTGTATGTTTGTGATTCTGCTATGGACGTTTTTCTTCGTTTTTCTCAATGAAAAGCAGTCAATTTCAGTATTTTCTAAACAAAACTGAACTGAAAATAAGATGTTGAATTTCATTTTTTTCACTCTCAAACAATCATTTTGAAAACAATGCAATTAGAAAAAAAAGAATTAAGAAGAAGAACACAAACCGAATTGAACAGAATAGAAAACTAATAGGCTGCCCTGAACAAGAGAGGAGTTTAAGAGAGCATTACTTGTCAAGAAAGATGAAGCATCGGAAGCTTATTACAAAGGGGAAGGTGATGTGCGCAGTGCGGGTATAACTTGAAGACCAAAGTATTTCCAAAAAAACAACAACTTGAAGACCGAATTAAAGGAGGTTAAACTTGACCACATAGAAGGATAAAGAAGCCAAATGACAAAATAGGGTTTCACTTTTAAAAAACAATGTACAACATCTTATGCATAAAGTGTATTGACATAAATCAAGGGTAACCTCTATTCATGATTATATTGTTGTTAGAAATAGAAATTGTTTTATGAGCCCCTTAGAATTACAAAACTTATCTCATGTAACATTAATTTACCCCTTTTAATTTTCTTTTACTAAAAGAGCTACTTATATGGATGGAAAGTTGTATATATTTTTTAAATTCTAAATGTTCATTAAATAATTTTAGTCTTTTTAAGAGTTCTTTTTGTCATATAATTTTAAATTTTAAAAAGACAACAATTTGAAAATATATATAATATGATGACAATGTTAAAAATAAAACATCAAAGGAGATTATATTAAGGATGTTTTAAATTGGATTGAAATTTTTGGATTTGGTCTGATCTGGTAAATGTATGGTCTTTATGTATTTTATAACTATGGAAGTGTGCCCTTGTCTGATCTGTCTAAGTCTGAGATCTCTAACACTTTCTTAATTTTAAAAATCTAGAGTTTCATTTTTTTTAAATTGAATTGTATGGTAGATTAAAATATTTTTAATTGAGCTGAAATTTCTGATTTGATTTGATTTGATTTGTATATAAATCAATCCCTTTTGTTAATATACTAAATTTCTTAATTATTTACAAAGCTGGTGCTCCATTTTGTTAATACGATTTACAAAGGTACGGTACCTTATGAGTACCATAGAGAATCTACCAATTTAGAATATTATAATGATGTTTGATGGCACATGGCAAAACTTTCCATAATTGTATCTTTGAAATGTATCATCAAATTAATAAAAAGCAATTATATAGAGTACAAGATGGTAATTATGATACGGGTTGTTCGTAAAAGTGAGGGAAAGCGTGTGTTTAAAAAAGGAGTAAAAACCATGCATATAAAATTTGACAGCCGGCATGGGGCTTTCTGATCTAGCTTATTCGTTGATAATTCGGATCCCTGATTTATTGTAGGTACGCATGCAGTGTTGTTAGAACTGGATAAGGGTGGGGAAAGTCTTTGTAGATGAAGCTTTCCAATTATCTGGGACGGCATTTGTGAACTCCAAATTCTCTCCATCTGTGGTGGTGATCCGGAAAGACAAGGCCGTATTGGCAGGCAACTTTCCGTCATTCGTCTGCCATTCTTGTCCCCAGTTTCTGGTCATCTTCATCCACTCCCCAGAACCCTTGACGTCCACACTGAGAAGGGATCCAGCTCCACCCACATTTGATATCACTACGAAGTTGTAGTTCTCATTGTCTCCTGTTATCGTAAATCTTACTCCTCCATTCTTAGGACTGCACGGGACCCTGCACACACATCATTTTAGTCCTATATATATAGGTGACAACTCCGGTACCTTTCTAAAAATAAGGGTACCGTACCTATCATTCATTTGATTAGACCACATCACTTTATCAATTTTAATTTAGATTTAAATAATTCAACTGCTACCTTTTCATTGGTCCATGTGGACAAATGTATGATACCTTATGAGTAGCATAGAAACTACCATATATATATATATATGTGTGTGTGTGTGTGTGTGTGTGATGGTTCATCAATTTGTGAATGTTTTAGAATTTTATGCTCTCTCGGTCCCATTAGAAAGTTCTCACTTTCCTTTTTTTTGGGTGTCCCATATAAAGGTTTTCATTTCCATTTTAAGAAACAATTAACAATCTTAAGTGACAAATTAATCATTAAATATTAAAAATAATACATTTATAACATCACAGTTATCCCTCAATACTAACTACATTATAATATATATACCTATTAAAATCATTTTTCAAAATATACTCGAAATACTTTATTTCATTATTGTCTAAATAACCGTGCCGTTTTATTATAGGAACCTTCCAGCGGGACGGAGGTAGTATTACTCATGTATTTATTGATGAAGAAGTTTTATAATTTTGGGATGTTTTTAGCTTGACTAGTTAGTTTCAGTCACAAACCATATTTAAACAAACCAGACATCACAATTGTAATTATACTTATAACCATTGTTCTAAATAGCAGCCCGCAACACCTGTTGCTTCCGCAATATTGTGGTCCCAGGCAGCGGCACAACCGCACCCGGCCTAATTTAAGGATATGCCTAATTTTAATATGCATATATACTAGTAGAGTCCAATTCCTGTCCAGCCGGCCTGACGGGAACCGCCATCTGGCCGAGGGCATATCAGACCCTTCCTGGTGGAATGGTTTTATGATTTTTTTTGAGAATGTTCTTCATCAAGTCTAGTTTACCCATACCAAATTTTAGATAAACATTCAATCGGGAAAGCAGTCAAATAAATTATATAAGAACACTGCGCAGTTAATATATATAAACAGCGCAGTATTTTTCAAAAAAACTTTTGACAGCCTTCCCGATTGAATTTTTAACTGAAATTTGGTATGGATAAACTAGACTTGATGAAGAACATACTAAACAAACTTCATCAAATTTTTTTACCGGGAAGGTCCCGAAATGCCCTCGGCCGGACGGCGGTTTTCGTCAAGCCTGCTGGACATGAAAGTTCCTCTATACTAGTATGTGTATACTAGTTTAAAAAAATATAACTATTGTTTATTTCAAAAAAATTGAATTGCATTTGTAATAATTACTCCCTCCGTCCCCCTTATAATGTCTCGTTTTACCTTTTCGGCAAATCCCACTAAAATTGTCTCATACCATATTTGGTAATAAAGTTTATGTGGCTCTAAATCAATCTTACTTAATTTATTATTACTTTATCAATTAATATCAACCACACAAAAAAAACTTTAAAATCATAACGTTAATTGAAGATTTGTTAAAGAAATATACGTTAATATATGTTTAAAAAATTGAAAATTGAAAATTTTAATTGAAAATTAAAATACGTAATTAATGTATTTTATTTGTAACGTTTTGTTAAATCATAATGTTAATTGAATTTTTTTTAACAAATTTTTTCAAAAAAACATAACTAATTTTAATTGTGTATACTACATAATTAATGTATGTTAAATATGTAGTAGTACATATATTATTATGTTAATTGAAGATTTTTGTTAAAGAGACAAAAAAAATCATTTTATTCCTATTATGTGCAAACTTGAAAATATTTCACGCCTCAATACGCATTGCAACCACAGTGACCGCAACCGCTTTAAAACCATGCATGCTTATAACAGATCGACTTCTACGTATCAGAGCAGACCAAATTTTAACAAACTAGATCACAGCGCGCAAGAAAATTACAATACAATTGAGAACACGTACGGGACCCTTAATATACGATCAATAACTCCTTTTATGGAGGAAACCTCTATGTATATATGTGTGTGTGTGTTTGATGACTGTGTAAATATGCATGTGAGTAGGGACTAACGAACCTCTTATACTTAACAGGAATGATTCCGCCTCTGTAAGAGCCAATGGTTAGCCAAGCGGGCATGGACATGTCGAAATGCTGGCGAGGCGGGTTGCACCAACCCCCGTTGTCGCTAGGTTTAGAAGGGTCTGGGGGGCATGAGTTAGTGGCCGTAATGGTGATGGGCTCACTGCTCACGCACCACGTAGAGTTCACACATTTGATCGTGTAGCAGTTCCCACAAGACTCTCCATTCTGGAACAGTTGAAAGCTTAATGCTGCCGTGTTTGTACCATATGTATCCTTCGTCTCCTCCTCACTATACGCACATGCCCCTCCTGCACATATTCATGCCCGCGTCACAACCAGAATTTTCACTTCTAATAATAATAATAATAATAATAATAATAATAATAATAATAACAATAATAATAATACTTGTGTTTATGGAAATTAATACTATCTTCCGTTCTTTAATATAGTTGCAACAAATTGACTTTCACGTTTGTCAACGCAGAACTTTAATTGTAATTATATTTCATTACGTATTACTAAACATTATGAAAAGTTACTCCCTCCGTCCCCCTGTTATTGCATCATTTCCTATTCACTTGGTCAACACAAATCACTTTTAATTTCTTACTTTATCTATCAAATTTTTATCAAATTTGGTTCTGGTTTTTGCGACTTTGTAAAGGTTTTAATGTAGTTTCTGAATATGTAAAAAAAAAAACAATTCTAAAAATAATTTGATTGTGGACAGGGATCCGTTTGTTTTATCGTTGGTCAAGCATCGTAAACCGCAATAGAACATGGGGGACGGAGGTAGTATTAATATTTTGGAAATTCACATTAATAGAAGTTTAATACTCCCTCTGTCCCGAATTTTAAGGCACTTTACGTTTTACGATGTTTGATCGACGATAAAGCAAATGCATCCATGTCAACACTCAAATTAGTTTTAGAATATAAGATATACATATTCAGAAACTACATTAAAACCGCTACAAAGCCTGCAAAAAAAAATTCAAATTTCATAAAATTTTGATATATAAAGTACGGAGTAAAAGATTAAGAGTGATTTGTGTTGACCAAGTGAATAGGAAATGTATCATGGCAGTGTTTGGCAAATGGCTATTGGCTGTTAGCCTTTGGCTGATTGTGTTAGCTGATTGATGACGACAGATTATGTTGGCTATTTTAATTAGTATATATTCTAGGATCGAGTTGCACTTCGTCTATCATATGGTAGTTTAATATGGACTAGTAGTTGTCCATATGCTAGGTTGCACTTCGAATTACGTACTCCCTTCGTCTCAAACTGTTTTCCATATTCATAAACTACATTGAAATCTCTTCAAAGTTGATAATTATGAAAAGTCAAACCTCTTATTGATAATTCATTCAATTTTTAATAATTAAAATTTACATATTCATGAACTACATTGAAATCTCTTCAAAGTTGTAAACTCCAAATTGGAATATATATAATTAAAAATTGACATCCTAATTAAGCGAACAAAACGAATCTCTTTGACCAAGAAAAGTCAAAGTTGCAACTCAATTTGGGACGGAGGTAGTACGGAGTAGTATATTTCTCCTTCAAGCTTAATGCTCCCATCGTGTCATCCGGTCGGTGTTGGGGGGCCCTCAGGGATGGGGTGTCATCCTTTTTTTTAATGAAATTAATCCTATTTTCTTTTGAGCCCTGGCCGATTACACTGCTCGCTCAATAAACTAAATTACTTTAAACATCAATATAATGATAAGGCTTGAATAAAAAGAAGATGACAACTACGGTACTCGTTTAAAAAGGGAATGTATTGACCTTGCATTTCGCTTTTTGGATGATGTTGGACTTTGCACCATATTTCGTCTAAAAAGTCTTTGCTTTTGCACCCCACTCAGGAAATTTTTCTACACAAAATGGTATACATAGGGTGCAAAGTCTAAAAGTTTTGAAAACAATGTGCAAAGTCCAATAATACCGAAAAAGTGAGGTGCAAAGTCAAAATATCCCTTTAAAAAATGAGATACTGTACCTAATTTCACTTAATTTATATTTAAATAATTCAAATGCAACATTCTGATTGATCTATGTGGAGAGAGTACGGTACCTTGAGGTACCATAAAATCCTCATAAAATGAAACCAAAGATATCTCTCTCACACACACCATATAATAAAATTGCCTTAAACACAATAGTAAAAAGAAGTGGTTTAATTCCCCGCTAGTCATGTCAACGTAAAAAAATATTACTCCGTATCATCATGTTACAATTATTTTAGCACTTCCAAAATTTAATGTCACATACTCGTATTTAAGAGAGAACACAATATTATAAATAGGACTAAAAAGGTTGAAAATTTCTAAAATAGGACTGTCATGTTTTTATTATCGAAATAGGACTAATTATTACCATGTTTTGGCAGTACCAGACTTTCAACATGGCAGTATTTCCTAAACTTGACAGTAATTACTCCTATTTTGGGAATAAAAAACATGACAGCTCTATTTGAGAATTTTCAAGCTGTTTTAGTCCTATTTCCGGAACTTTCCCAATTTTTACTCTCAATTTAATATGTATATTTATATTTGTAGGTATAAATTAAAATAACTTAGCATCACTAAAGTGATATGTATAGTTAATACTCCAGTAATTAATTACCGTATGAGCCATCGCCATTAAAGTCTCCGTAGAAGGTGGCATGTGCGTCTTTCCAGTCGCTATCAAAAACCGAAGCCGAGGAGGCTGCCTTGCCGCCACTGATGATGATAAGTATAAGAAGTGCACCGTAGCTATGAGCCGCCATTATTTCGACCTGGAACTATATATGTGTATGTATATGTGTGTAATTAATCTGATGAAGCAATTACACTAATTAATATATAATGGAATTAAGCTAAGGTGGATGAATCAATTTCATGATTAAATGGAAGAATGCGAGGGCTGTTATATAGCCGTTTTCCTCCTACTTAAATTCTTCCCTTTTTATTTTCACACTTAAGTTCTTTTATCATTGCTCCAAATTTTTCCTGCAATTGTATTCTCCGTAAGCTTTACTCCGTTCTAGTAATTATTAATTTATTTCTACCTCCGTCCCTTTTATGTTGGTACAGAAGAAGGTGATACGATTATTAAGAAAAATGGATTTGTGTGGTTGATATTAATTGATAAAGTAAGAATAAAATAAGAATGATTTAGAGGCACACAAACTTTACCAAATATGATATAAGACAATTTTAAAAGGGATTTTCTGAAAAGATAAACAGGAAATATGAGAATATTTCCTTATCAATCATTGCTCCAAATATTCCCAAGTCTACAATAATATACTCCGTGAGCATTACTCCTTAATTCTAGTAACTATTAGTCCCTTAATTAATCTATCATATAGACAACTACATATGGAAATGCGACGGATCGAGGTCGGTTATGCATAATTGCATATAACAGTACGTACCCGCTCCATTGAATAACTTCCCTGCCCCGTAACTGCCTCATTATCCAATGGGTAACTTTATTCAAATCATAACCGCTCCAACGAGTAATGGGTGTTATCGAGGGTAATTGCGGGTAACCACTTTATTAAATGTATCATTGATATTTTAATACTACCTCCGTCCCCCTAAGTTTGGGACAAAAGGTGACAAGAGAAGGTGACACGGTTATTAATAAAAGTGGGTTTATGTGATTGATGTTGAATTGATAAAGTAAGAATAAAGTCAGAATGATTTAGAACCACACAAATTTTACCAAATAAGGTATGAGACAATTTTAGTGGGATGGACCGAAAAGGTGAAATGAGACAATCATAGCGGGACGGAGAGAGTATAAAATGGGGCAAACAATGGTATCACCTAAAGTGGCTCTAGATGTGAGATGTCATTAAAAGTTTCGTGCATCTACTAGAAAAGAAAGAAGGCAACCTAAATTAATTTGAACCTAAAAATACTTAAACTGAAAAATAATTTATCAAGAAAAAATGATAATAATCAAACAAGATTATTAAAATCTATTATTAACTTTAATTGATACATTATCCTCTGTAGTTAGTACATCCATTTATACACAATGAAAAGAGAACAATTTCATCTTTTATTAGTTGTGGAACAAATAATAGGAAAATATGTAATCAAAATATAACAAAAAATAAAACTGTTCCGCCCCACTACCCGTAAAAATAAAACGAGTAATCCCCGCCCCATAACCGTTATCCGGTCAATGCGGTTTTCCCCGTTTTGACCGGAGCGGTTCGGTGCAGGTATCTATCAGATCAGTCACAATTGTCATCCCTATAAACAACCCGAAATCCGAATCAACAATCCTACATATATCGGTTTTACAAAAAAAATATACTAAATGGAATCTTTATATATGTAATCAATACATATATAACATAATATTTATTCCAATGCACCTCATATATAGGAATGTCATGTCATTAATATATAGAGAAATTGTCCTAATAAAAAGACTAAAACATGATCATTCATCAATGTTCCTAAATAGAACTTTAAGTTTATTATTCCTTGATTAGAACTCCTGGTTACTTTTTTGCCCTTCATATAATTAAACCCCAAAATATGTGACCTACTCCAAGTCTCCAACACCTCAGATGCAGATTCCATTTGGGATGAAGAACCCATTCACAAATCACATCCAAGCATCGGCGATTTTATGATCTTCCATAGCCTCCGCTCATCGGTACCACAGTCATAGCCACCTCTCGTCTTTACCAACCATTGCTACTGTCACTCTTCTCTAATCTTCGGTGACTGCACACATATCTTCAGTTTTTTCGATGAAGTCAAGTAATTTTCTCCATATTCTTTCCTCATATACATCGTTTCATCATATAATAAAGATAATCATTGTGCACATCTGATCTAGAAAGTATCGGTCTGTTATAATTCCTTAAGAGTATTTGTTTAGTATGAACTTTATTCTTACCATAACTTTTGTGCATTTATGCGCGCGCACACAAATATTCATGTCCGACAAGTCAAACTTTATTCTATCAAATGCCAAACGGAAATCAGATTACAAGTCAAGTTTGGCACATACAAAACAAGGGTAAGCACAATATTTTCCTTACCTATACTGATCCCATATGTGTGACATTTTAAAGTTCTCCATTTCGCAACATAACATGAATATCGAATACCGAGTGCAAATAAAAAAAAACAGGTTTCATTTAACACATGTGGTACAATGCACTCGTACAACTAAGTAATTCAGAAGAATAAATATATGATAGCTTTTCCTTACAACTGCTTTTATTTTCAGTAAGAATCAAGAAGAGAGTTCCATTGGTCACTGGTTAGAGTGGAGGATGGCTTGGCTTAACAACGTTGCTAACTTCATTTGTGCCCTGGGGATTGTGTTGCATGAGTGACTATATATTTCCACTAGATTTTCTTGGTCCTGGAGATTTGGCGCACACTCTCCTCGCCCTATCGAAAAACAACCTGTCAATGTAATTACCCGTAAGCTTGAAACAATTGTCTCAAATGTGTCCTATCTTTTTGCAGTGCACACAGTACAATTTTTCTTTATCTTGTTGCATGTCCATCCCTGTAACAGAGTAAAGCAAGAGTCATGTGCTGCAAAGGCTTCCGCATCCATACGTTCCTCTTGGATACAAATCACATTTTTGTGACGCACTTCCTTGACAACTATTTGGTACACCTTGCTCAGATCAGGGGAGGGATTGTAGGCACGTTAAGAATATTTGAACGTCCACCAAAAAACAGCATTCTCTAATCCCATTAGAAATTCATGTATTTTTTCAATTTCTTTGCTTTTAGAAAACTTTGTTCCAGGTGACAAGTGGGCATTTACAAACTGGTATATATGAGTTCGTTAGACAAAAAAATATAGTGAACTCGAATCATTCACCTTTCGCTTATGCTCCATGGTAGTCACTGTTTCATCATTTGTTCATGTTACAACGCTATCGTTGAACTGGGTTGTTGTATCTGTGTATTCGTCATCATATTTTCTTTTTAGATTGGAAGAGTAACCTGCTCTGATACCATAACAAGTTTTGTTGTAAAAGTTTTCTTTGTTTTATTATGTATCCAACTTTGGGTATATATAAAATGTACAATTACAATGTTGACTCTAGGAAGGAGACTGCTACTAGCTACACACGTCAACAACGAATTATTTTTACGGTAGAAGTACAAGTGGATATATACAACAAATTAAATAACGGAACAAATGATAAGTAACACAAAGATAAGTTCATCAAGATACAAAGTATATATGCTTATTGTTATAATATATTATCCCGGCCTACTACTCTTCAGGAGTCTAATGCATTACCCTCATTATGGAGCCCAATCATGATGGCCCATCTCGGCACACTTGGGTCCATTAGGGTAGATTTCCCCCCTCCCCTTTTCTATAAATAGGAGGTTTTCCCTCCAGAATTCCATATTGAGGGGCCTTTTCTCTTTCTAGAGTTATCATCTTCTCTCCCCCTAGTCATCTTCTTCTCTAAGCTTTTTACCTCCATTAATGGGAGCTTTTGTACTATGTAAATGATGAGGAGAGACTAATTAAATAATAGTGGCTTAAACATTAGCATGAAAAGTCCCGTGATTTTCACCCTTTGGGGTTTCTACATATTTTTTTTGGGCCCGAAAAGTCGTCGTGTAGACGGGGTTAGCGTCGGGAAACGCTACCATATTTATTAAAGACTTGTTGTGGAGGTACAAGTGGTGAAAGAACCGGCCCAGCTAATAAAGCCCACGTTCAAATGGGCCTGTGCAATTGTGGCCGGTGAAGGACAAATGGAGAGAATATCTCCGCAGACAAACATAATACGTTAAAATGTGTGGGGAACCCTAAAACTCTCTATCGTTCCAGAGAGTTCAGGAGATGGAGTGCGCCGTTGAGGGAGTTCAATCGCCGATTAGGAGGCTGGTGTTCCGGTTCTGATTAGCCCGTGTCTCTAAAGAATGGACGACCTTGTCTATCTTCCAAGCAAGCCTGCAGTACCTGAGGAGGGAGAGTGTGTTCGTCGTAGCGGCAGAAACATGTTGATCGTCTTCCTTCCTTTGCGAGTAAGTGTGCCGGTCTATTCGCTTCTCTTACAGTGTGTGTGAGTCTAAGGTTGTTGTTGTTGCTGTTGATCGTCTTACTTCCTTTGGGGTTTCTACGTAAAGATCAAGCATTCATACATATTTATATCTATATTTACGGTTTCGTGTTGGATTAGTTTTAACACTTATAGTTGGGAGTTTCCTTATTCTCTGTTTGCTGAAAGCAAAGGAGTTAATAAGGATTTGATTTCCAGTAATTGCCAACAATACCTCTCAACAAATTATAATAATCGCCAACAACAGTTCAACTTTTATTCTGTTTAAATATAAATAATATATATATATATATATATATATATATATATATATATTAGAGATCAAATACAAACTAGGCTTAATATACAAACCTACAAACTAATCCTAGCCATTTATTTATACTAAACTGCCGTGCGCTTCATCTTGATTAGATTAGGTAGTTAAGGGGCTTATTAGTCTTCTACATTTATTTTATTTTAGGAAAACAAATCTCACGTCACCTTTTCATTACCGATTGTAATTGGTTCTCTCCCCCTGTTCATATAAGGTTCATCCATCTCTATACACAATTGCTCTAGGGTATCAAATCTTTTCTTCATCTCCATCTCCATCTTTATCTCAATCTCCATCATCATCATCATCTTTATCTCATTCTCCATCTCAAATTG